GTGAGGCCTGGGCAAATCACTTCACCTCTCTGAGCTTCCCAGCAGGCCCCATAGAATGGAGATGAAGATTTTAAAAAGCGACCCATACGAATGCTGGGATGCAACACCTTGCCCCTTATCTCCCTTCCTAACTCATAGGGTTGTCGTGAGGATTACATAAATCAGCCTAGTATGTTCAGTCAGACTGCTCTATGCCTGTGTGCTGGTGGTTAAGCTACGTACATTCTATGGGCTTCGGCTTCCCCCTCCGTAAAATGGGCCCATTAATAGTACCACTGCCTAGGGCTATTGTGAGCTTAATACATCTAAAGGACCTAGGACAGCATCTGGCACTCTGAATGTTAGCTTTGTCTGTGTCATAATCAGCACTGTAAGTGCATGGTAAGTGCAAGCTATTGGAATCATAAATTAATTTCCCTTCAGCCACTGCCTCGCTCGTGTGACCTACCCAGAATGATCATGTGTTTCGGAGTGTCTGAGCTCTGTCCCTGTGTCATGAGAAAACTGAGTTCCAGGCACCTATGCCCCCTGCCTCTCACAGAGCTGCCTCTGCCGGATTCCAGGAAACGGCCAGCCCTTGCTCTTTTCTGACGGCCAGCATGGGAGCCATCCATCAGAACGTTGCTGATGTGTCTTCAGGCAAAGTCAGGAGGAAGGTTCTGCCCATCAGCCTTCCCACACGCCAGGGAAGAGCTCCCCTTTGGCACCTGCTCCAGCACCAAGTGTGTGTCTGCAAGGGAACAGGACAACTAAAGCATGGGATGAGCCTCTTTCCCTTTTTGCCTTGGCTGCCGGGTAATGCGCAGTCGATTCCGTTCCACACAAGCATGATTGGTTCGCCGAGTGGCTTCACCGCTCTGAGCCTGTTTCCTCCTCTGTAAAAAGAGAGGACAGAGAACCCTCTGAGTTCTGCCTCCTCCTGGTTGTGTGAACTGGGCAGTTCCTTCCTCTCTCCTTGCTTCCAGTTTCCTCTCCTGCAAGGTGGGAACTGTGTCAATGACCACACTGTTAGATTTCGAGGAGGCTCACTCCCAGGGCACAGCCTGGTGCCCGCTCCCCGGTTGGCGCTTTGTAACCAGGAACTAAAAAATGTTGCTGTTGTGGGTGAAGACCTGCTGGGGCTGGGAATTGAGGGTTTGATAGGCGGAGTTTACTGAAAGGTAGAGCCTTCCTGTAGCAATTTAAAACACCCAGCTTTGTGGTTTGATTGCAACCTGGATTCTGTGTTCTTGAGTGAATTGCGGGGAGGAGTGTAGGCAAATACCCTTCGGTTCCCTGGAAGAAGGGGTCTTTTCACACATCCTGCCCCCGAGCTCAGTGCGTGCCCTTTTTACGAGGTGCACCTGACTGCCTGCTATTGCATGGGGCAGCACGTGCCAGGGCGTGCCCTGTGGGAGTAATGCCAGTAAACCTGGCCAGGGCCTCCCCTCTATACCCACCGCCCTGGGAGGCCGTGCCAACACTGCACAACCAAGAGAGTCGGCCCCCCCCAGGGGCCCCTGCAACCCAAGCACGGGCCCTGGTACTAAAGGAGGGCAGCACGGTCTGTGGGGTTCTGGGTGTGGTTAAGGGAAAGGGTGGGGGGGCGTAGAATTCAAAGGCGGGAGAGGTTATGACCAGAGGCTGCTGCCCAGGTCCGAGGATGCTTCCCCTGTCCCCTGCTTCTGTTTGCACACCCCCTGTGCCAGGGATCTCTCTCTCCCAAAGCCTCCTTCCCCACCTCTGTGGACCAGCTTTGCCTCGCTTCTCAGGTATGGTGCCCAAAGCATCGTCTCCTCGAATGGCTGGAGCAGCAAGCCCCTGCTTTGTTTTAGAGACTATACTTCTGGGAAGGTGACCCCTATTCTGTTTGTTTGTTTCTCCCCACCCATATCACTAGTGATCACACCAGAATCCAAGGCTACTATCAACTAATTCTCATTCCTTCACAGCTCTTTCCTACCCATCCTCCCTCCTGCCCTTCTCTTCTTCCATTTCTTTTTCCAGTTCAGAGCAATGCATCTCTGCAATCAGTTTATTCAAAGGTGTACTGACCATCTGTGTACACCAGTCCTGCTCTGAGCACTGGAGATTTATAAATGAATACGACCCGGGTCCTGCCCACAGGAGGCTTAGCATCTGCCAGTGGAGTGAATGGAAGGGTAACAGCTATGGCACCTACCCTGAGGGTATAACTGAGGGACAGGACAAAGTGCAGACGTACCTCAGAGGGGTGAGCAATGACCATACATGCACAAATATAAGGCAACCCAAGGAAAGGTTAAGAGCAATCCCTTTTCTTCCAATGAGAAGATGCACAATAAAGTTGAATAATATAAACTTTAAAGGGTGGAGATAAAATAGACATCTACTTACAATATTTATTTCTTTAGCGAGACATACAGATTTTAAATAATTTTTACATAAAACATTAATTTGGAAAGACTGCCTTTGTCCACGCTCAAATTTCAAGAAACTGTTTGGCTCAAACTCTTCATGTGTGGCTTTGATGCCAGTGTCCCCATCATCTGGTGTGTGTTGGAGGGTGCTTTTTCAGTTTCCACAGCAGATCTTTTTTTTCTTTTTAAGATTTTATTTATTTATTTGAGGGAGAGACAGAGAGAGAGCGCATGAGCAGGGGGGAGGGGCAGAGGGAGAGGGAGAAGCAGGCTTCCCGCTGAGCAGGGAGCCCTTTGTAGGGCTCCAGCCCAGGACCCCGGGATCATGACCTGAGCCGAAGGCAGACGCTTAACCGACTGAGCCACCCAGGCACCCCTCCGCAGCGGATGTTATTCACAGGGACCAAGAGGCTAACACACGGCCCTTTTCGATATATGTGTCAGTTGGCCACCGAACAGTGTCCCCTCCACAGGCACCATCTGCATAACACTGGGGCAGTTGAGGCTTTATTTGCTGCAGATGTGCATTGTGGTCTGCACAGCACAGCCACTTACTTGGATGCTCTGAAAGTGATCTTTAAACCGTCTGTTTGTACCAACCTCCCTTGCAGTCACCCTTTGTGACCCTCTCTTTGTGACCCTTGTAGTCACAAAGTCCCATTTGCACCACATTGCTTTGCATGAGGAAAATTTCCTTGGCTTCTTAGGTGATAATTCTGACCTGTATATGCATCCCAAACTCATATGGATTGAAGGTGTTTTGAACCAATGTACCTTTCTCGAACAGGACTTGTGTTTAAAAATTAAGTAACTGAGAGAGCACCTGTAATAATGAGAAATCAGTAACTCAAATACAAGGCAACCTTATGTGCAGATGTACATGAGTCAGGGTGGGTGGGGTATAGAGAAGCCTTCCCAGAGGTGGAGGCTTTGAGCTAACCTTGAAGAATGAGAACCCTCTGAGATGCGTCAGGAATCCTAGGCAGAAGGCACTGGAGAAACAGAGCTGGCGGTTCTGTCCTAGATATCCCTCTTTCATTCACATAGCTCCAGGCCAGCTTTGCCCCTTACCAGCTGGGACATCTTGGGCACCTCTTTTCCGTTCCCTGACCCTCAGTTTCCCTATCTGTGAAGTGGGAGTAATAACACATATTTCATAAAGGATACAAGAGCATGGAAAGTAGAGTTGGAAAAAAAAAAACTGGTTGAGAACTGGGTCTTCTCGGGTAAGTCATTGCACCTTCTGAGCCTCAGTGTTCTAATCTGCAAAACAGAGCCCTGTGAAGGCAGGAACTAGCAGGCTTCACTTCCCATTGAGTTTGGTCTGGGTTCTTGTACAGGAAAGAGCTGCTCAGAATACCTGTGGGGTGAATGAGGAATACCTGTTACTCCCTCTGCCAGGAATATGCTCCCCAGCTCTTCCCATGGCTGATTCCTTGTTGTTTCTTCAGATGGAGCTGGCATGGCCCCAGGTTCTCCCTGAGCCCCCCAAAGTTACTATAACAGTTATCTTATTTTCTTGTTGGCTTTGATCATTATATTGTGTGATCTAAATTGCTTGTTATTTTGGGGCGCCTCGGTGGCTCAGTCTCTTGAGCTTCTGACTCTTGATTTCGCCTCAGGTCATGATCTCTGGGTTCTGAGATGGAGCCCCGTTTGGGCTCCCGCTCAGCGGGGATTCCCCTTGAGATTCTCACCCTCTCCCTCTGCCCCTCCCCCTGCTCGCCCTCTCCCTGCTCACTCTCAAAATAATAAACCTTAAAAAAAACAAAACTCTAAAAATAAAATTAAATTAAAAATAAAAATAATAGGGGCGCCTGGGTGGCTCAGTCGTTAAGCGTCTGCCTTCGGCTCAGGTCATGGTCCCAGGGTCCTGGGATCGAGCCCCGCATCGGGCTCCCTGCTCGGTGGGAAGCCTGCTTCTCCCTCTGCCACTCCCCCTGCTTGTGTTCCCTCTCTCGCTGTGTCTCTCTCTTCAAATAAATAAAATCTTTAAAAATAAAATAAAATAAAAAATAAAAATAAAGTGCTTGTTATTTGTTTTCACCGCTTACATGCCTTGTCTCTACCTACAGTGTCCAGCACAGTGGCTGGCATGCGCTTCATAAATATTCGAATATGTTCCCTCCTCCCAACCTTTGGCTACTGCCTAGGTTTCTATTTGTAGGTCCGTGAGCACACCCCCACCACGGTCACCCCGCCCTTTACACTGCCGTAGGCGACCTTCTGCCTGCGTGTACATCCCCCCCCCCCCCCCCCACTCCGCACCCCTCATTAGTGCGCCGTCAGGGTGAGGGCTTGGCCCCCTGGGGCCCAGCGCCTGCAAGAGGGCCTGGCACACACTAGGCCTTAGCGAAGTGTTGGAAGGAATGAATGAAAGGCCTGGCACGCCGAGGACACCCAACCGGCGGCACGTCCTCCCGCCCCGGGCGCGGGAGCGGCGAGAGCGGGAGACTCGGCGGTTCTGCCCCCGCCGCCCGGTCCAAACTTTCAAAAGATGCGGCGGCCGCCGCCCCGCCTGTCCCTGCGCGGTTGGAGGCGGCGGGAGGCGGAGGCGGAGGCGGAGCCGGCGGGCTTGGGCCGGTTGGCTCCGCCTCCTCCTCCGGCTGCCGCCGCCTCCCTCCAGGCGCCCGCCCCAGCTGCCGCCCGCCGGCTCGCCCGTGCAGCCGCGATGCCCCGGGGCCCGACCCTGGCCCGGGTCCCCGGCCCACCGCGTTATTAGCCTCCGTGCAGCCGGAGCGCGCCGCCGCCAACGCCGCGCCCCGACGCAGCGATGGGCAACACCGTGCACAGGACCCTGCCAGGTACGCCGGGGAGCCCTGCCCGGGAGGCGGGCGCTGGGGTTCTCCTCTCCCCAGGGGACCCGCTGGGTGACTTCCGGAGAGCCACCCCACCCCCTTGGAGCCCTCGGCGGCAGCGGGCTGGAGTCTTCGGTGCCTCCTGGACCCCGGCTCCGCGCGCGCCCCTGGGCTGGGCTTTGCGCTCCGGGAGGACGGGTACCGCGTCCTGGTTACCTTGGGGACCCCAGTCCTCGTTCTCCCTGCTTGGCCAGATGCGCGAAGGGGCCGCTGGGGCGCTGCCGCTCGCCCCCTCGCCTTTGTTTCAGCCCGAGGGCGCTGAGGAGGGAGCCCGGGGCGCCCTGGGGGAGTGACAGGAGTCGGGCTCCCCAGGGCTTCCGACGGCCAGAACCACCCGTTGTGCCGAGACTGCAGCTGCTGAAAGTGGGGGGCGCTTGCAGGGGTACCCCAATTTCCAGCCGCCAGCGCCCCCGCGGCACATGCTGCCTTGGTTTGGCCATGTTCCCACGCGCACCCCGGCTGCGCCCCCCTCTGGTGTCCGCTCAACTGGGGGCTTTCTAGTCCCTCGGAGTCACTGCTGCAGAACGCATCGCCCCCTAGTTAACATCACCTTAGAATTTCCGGGGCTAGAGTAAGGGGATGGGGGTGAGGTGGGAAGGTGGGAGTGGGGGGCAGAGGAGGACTTACTAGAGAATACCTGGTGATTTGGGTGACAGATCACTGCACTGGGGGCTCTGTGTCAGGCATTTTGCATACCCCAGGGCCAGGGCGGCATGCAAAGCAGCTTTTCGTGGTAAAGATGTTTATCCCAATTTTACAAATAAAGAAATTGAGGCTCGGAGGAGAAGAAATGACTCACCCAAGGTCATACTGCTAATAGGAGGTGAGTCTGGGTTGGGCCCCCTGTCTGCCTGCGCAGTCGTCCCCCACACCCCAAGTCTTTAGAAAAAGTCTTTATCTTGGCTTAAGGCTGGGCATTGGTAGCATCTTGTAGGCAGAAAGTGAGAGATGTGTGTATTTTTAAAGTACCAAGGCCCAGCTCAGTGGGGAAGCAAGTCGGCTGCAGTGCAGATTTAGTGTGAGGTTTTAGGAGAGAGACCTATCACTGGTCTGTGCTCTAACACTCCCATATAGTCCCCCCTTCTAGGCTTTATATCAAAAAATCATTGTTTCTTCCTCTGGAGGGTCTTAAAATGGATGATGCTGTGCCCGGGATTCCCAAGGCTGGGCTATGCAAGAGGAGCAACTCCTAGTTTATAAGCTTCTGGGCAGCTTTAGGGCCACTGCATTCAAAACCCCCATATTCTCAGACAGGTAAAGTCACCAGGAGAGGGTCATCAGCTAGTCAGAGGGAGAGGTGGGATCTGAACCCAGGTCCACTTATGGGCCAGTGGCCTCCACCTCTTATGAGCAGAGATATTGACTGGGTGGGGATGGAAGGACCCACCCACCCGGTCTGGAGGTGTCCAGGGCTGTTGGCAAATATGGCAGCAGATATTCTCCCAGCCACAGACACCTGGCTGCAGCATGGGCCCCTTTGTAGGATTTCTTAATTAAAAATATTTATGCTGTTCTAGTAAAAAAGCCATTCTGCCACCTGTGGGTCGGCCGTAGGGTGGATGAAGGGACAGACACAGCCAGGCAGGCTAAAAATAGCTGGAGATTTCTATATTGTCCATCCCACAGGGCTCTTCCTCTGTGGACTGGGCCACCTGGGCTAGGAGCCGAGGGTTAAGGTTGTTACCCACTGCAGTAACTAAGTGTGAAAAATTAAAATTCTCCACTGGAGCTGAAGCTTGACCTGAGTTTGAGGAAGGGGACAGAGCTGGAGTTCCTGAGACACATCAGGTTGCTGTGCTGAGAATATGAAGGGCCGTTTATTGTTTTCCCACCTGTGTGTAATTAGTTTCTCACACACACTCTGCCGTTTCTTACAACTCTGTGATCAGTACGTGATGCTTCCCACACTTGAAATATCCTTCCTTGTCTAGTCCATTTCTTAAAATTCAGCTTAGTTGTCACCTCCTCCAGGAAGCCTTCCTTGACCACCCACACCAATCCCACCCTTTGCTCTGCTACCTAGATACCTTCTTAAGGCTCGGCTTGTTCATCTGACCACATTGCATTGTCGTTACCCCTGTCCAGAACTTGCCTCAGGGCTGCCTGAGGACAGAAACCGTGTCTCAATTATCTTGTATCCCTGGTTGCCCAACCCAGAGCCTAGTGGCTGGCAGGGGCTCAAAAACCAGTCGTAGAGCTCACATGTTGCCTGCATCTTAGGCTGAAAGAACACTTGGCTCAGTCTTGCCCTGTAGAAATCCTTGTGCTTTCATTCTCAGGAAAAGGACACATGCGTGGGGTTCCTTCTATGGGACTTGAAATAGAGAGCTGGCATTTGCTGAGCACCTGGATTCCATGCCAGGCTTCCTGCATATGTGGCTTCATTTACATGCCAAGCATGCTTCTCCTTAAGGCTCCCGCACTTGCTGATCCTTCTGCCTGGAGCATTCTTCCCCCAGACCTCCACATGGTTTCCCCCTCGCTTCCTTTAGCTCTCTGCTCCAGTGCGGGTCCTGCCATCACCCCTGCCCCCGGCATGCCCCACCTGCTCTCCCCCACTTGGTGTTTCTCCTTAGCATGATCACCATGTGCCACACGATATGTGTAGTTAGCTGTTTAATCACCTGTCTCCCCAGGGAGGATTTTGTCTTTTTATTCACTGCTGTATATTCTGCACCCGGAGCAGTGGCTAGTACACAGATGTTCAGTAAATATTTGTTGAATGAATGAATGAATTTAATGCTTTGCAACAGCCCTGCAAGGTAGGGATCATCATCTCCATTTACAGATAAGGAAACCAAGGCTCAGAGAGATAAAATGACTCATTCCAGCTCACATGGCTCATCCAGTTGGTAGAACCAGGATTGGAATCCAGGTTGATTTAGCTCCAAAGTTCTACATTCTTCCTCCGACATGCAGTATCCTCCCAATCCATGGTTCAGACAACATGCGTTGGGTGCCCCAAAGTAAATATGTCATGTTATTGTGTGCAATAATGACATGTCAAAGAAAGGGAGGGTCCTTTATGATTGATGTGGGAAGTCCCTTGGCAGTCTTCACAAAGGGCATCAGCAAATTCAGACGAATGCCCTATAAAGAGAAGTGTCCAGGAGCCAGCAAGGAAACTCACATTTGCCACGCTCCTACTGTGTGCGTTACCCATTCTCTTTCTAGTTGCAGTTCAATACTGCAAAGTAAGGTGCCATTCTTCTCCATTTTATGGATGAGGAGAATGAGGCACAGAGAGGTTAAAACACTTGACCCAACTCACACAGGTAGGCACTAGCAAAGCTGGGTTTAGAAGACCCTGGTCTGTCTTATTCCTAATACCACATGGTCCTTTTCTCTGGGCCCCGTTTCCCTTAATCTGGGGTTTGTAAGGAAAAAAATAAAAGTGTAAACAAGCGGGGCTGGGAGAGGTTGGAATTCCAGGGCAGCGGGGCTCTTGCCCGTTCTCTCACCAGCACATTGCCACCCTTCCCTCAGCGCGCCTCTCGGGCTCACCCACAGTTCTGGTTGGAGAAGAGACAATTCAAACTGCCAGTTGGGTTTAATCATCAAGTTGGTCCATGCTTGACCAAGTCAATGGCCCTTTTTAGTGTTAGTTCAATAGTCAGGCATCCTGGAGCTTGGAGTGAGGGAAGTATGCTGACCTTGGTCTGTGCCAAGCTCTGAGTCAGGGGCTTTACCCATGTTATCTATTTTAAATCCTTGTAACAACCCTTTAGAGGGGCTATATTTAGCCCCATTTTCCAGGCAGGCAACATCTGTCCTTAGGGGCCGTGTGCCCAGGCTGGAGTGACTCCGGGGTCTGTCCTGCCCTACGTTTTCCTGAGTGTGCACCTTCATTCATTTAACGGACATCTTGTGGGCACCTGTCGTGTGCCAGGCCCTGGGGGTTCAGCTGTGAATGGGATGGAAGCCACCGGAGGCCCCCGTGGAGCTGGCCCCTAGTGGAAGAGGAATAGGGTGCAGGAATAGAATAGGACAGGTAGCTGGTTAGGTGGTTAAGTGCGGCTGCCCTGTGCCTCAGAGAGGGAGGGGTAGGGGCCCAGGGCCCCAAACAAGGCCTGGACACCAGACCAACTGGTCTGTCTACTGTGGGTCATGCGTGACCAACTTTTAAAAAAAATCCTTAATGACATAGAATAGAATAAAAAAATATACGGTGCACTGAGGTCGTAAGGAGAATTTTTGCTTCATAGACTTTGTGTCGGTTGTGTGTGCATGTGTGTGCGTTGGACTCCGTGGGCCCCAGCGATGAAGAGTTGTGGTGGGACCACTCGCTGGTCCACAGCAGCGGGAGGTCTGGTGTTTGGGTCTAGAACACGGATCCTGGAGTCCAGTTGCCCGGCTTCAAATCTCAGCTCAGCCATTGCTCAATAGAGTGACTCTGGGCAAGGTACTTACCTCTGTGTGCCTCAGTTTCCTCACTGTGAAGTGGGGATGATAGGGGGAGCTCCCTGGTGGTTGGGGTGGCAAGAATTAAGTGGAATAGGGCAGGTAAACTTAGCACAATGGCTGGGGCTTTCATGGTCATGGTTATTGTTGCCGCTGTGGAAAGAGAGGACTTGAACCTACCCCTGGGGTCCCGGGGTCCCTGGATGGGGACGGATGAGAGGTGCCTTTCACTTCCTGCCTTGAAAGCCCAGTCCCAGGTGATCATGAGCCTTGAGCCCAGGACTGGATTGGGAGGCATCCCTTTCATGTGTCCCAACAGCTGCAATTCCCAAGGCTTCTCCAGCTTTGTCTGGGACACCAGATTTCTGATGAGAAGACTCTTCTTAGCACGTTGCATTTTGCCATTTCCATTTGTTCACCAGACCTCCAGGCTGGGCTCTGTGCTGAGCCTGGGGTCACAGCCTGGGCTTAGGGACTCAAGGTCTAGTGGGAAAGACCAACAAGGACAGGGCAGTTACCGTAAGTGGGGGCCCTTGAGAGCCCAG